GGACTTGGATTCTAGGGACTTGGATTTTGGTTTTACAAATTGTTTCTTGCCCCTACTATGAAAAGGAAGGGGGTGGGGTGGGAAGCATTTGTATGTGTTCCTTTTTTTCTTTCCTGATTACCCCCAAAAGAGCTTTCAAATAATCTGCTAAGTACTGAAGTACTGAAGTCATAAACTAGTTACAAAAATCAGCTTACTGGAACAACAGGAAAGACATTCTTCTTTTCAAAGCCTTTCCCATCATCTGGAGCCAAAAATATTATCTTCTGACCCAAAAAGCCACTAATAAACCTTGTTTCTATAGGCCAAACAAGAGGGATGATTTTGCCCTAAGCAAAATGGCAAAGAGAGCAGGATTGTTCTCTGGGTCCTCCCAACCCCATTTGTGCCCACTCCCACCTCCTGCCATCCTCTACTTCCAGATACCTCCCTATTGCCCTCGGTCTGCCTGGAGTCCCCACAAGATGCCCCCCACTCTCAAGGGCTCCTTTCCTCCCTAAGAGCTCTCTGTTCCCAAGTTAAAACCCCCTTCTTTTCTTTCATCCAAATTCCAAATCCCAGCTAGCGGTTAGGCACAACCTCCAAGCAGCATTGTCTCGGCACTCACCCTCTCTTTGTAATCTTGCTTATGCACAGAATACTGTTTTGTTTCCATTTAGTTGGGAGTATAAGGAATGACAGAAGTCTGCTTTATGGGGACACACAGAGGAAAGCTAGCAGCAGAATCCCTGCATAACTGGGGGCCAGTTGCTGTCCTGATTTACCAATAAAAAATTAGATTAACAGTACTGTATTTTTTTCTATTCTCTCATTGAAAAGCTATATATATATTTTTAAAAAGCCAAAACAACTTTGTGGGGTATGGTGTGTGTGTCTGGGGGGGGTAGCTGGCCAGTGAGGGGATCCGAACCCTTGACCTTGGTGTTACAAGGCTGCACAATAACCTGCTGAGCCAACTGGCCAGCCCAAAACAGGTTTAATTATAATAGATAATAATAAGTTTTAGTTATGAAGACAATTTGCTTGTGTGAGCCTTATTCCCCTAAACTGCAAGATAAAATGAGATATGATGTAGTACATTTATATTTTAAAAGATGAATGTGTTGTCCCAAATTAACCTCTAAAGGTGGTGGAGGGGAGGGGTATGGAAGCATATTTTTGAGCTCTTTGTCAACTCCAGGCCTCAAAGTTCTTAACCCAGTATGCCACTAAAAACCTCAAGGAGATCACTAAAGAGTCCCCTTTTCTGAATGTTTGCTGAATAGACCAGGCCTCTGCAGCTCACCTCGAAGGGTTAAAAATACAACAGGAGGTGAGTGGCTTCCCAGCTCTCCAAATGGCCACACATCTCTGACTCTACATCTCTGCCTACATAACAAGAACATTCATCACCTCCCTCCCTTGGGACTCTTAGCAGGCTTCATCGGTGGCCAATGACAATAAAAATTGTTTGTTATTTATAATACCCAATAGCATGCCATGTCTGTGGGGACAGAGGCCAATAGCACAGGGATTATGTTTTTAAAGTGTGATATAATTGTGGGTAGAAAAACTCCAATCTTGATCTTCTCAAAATACCAAAATAAGAGATGGACAGAACAACCCAAAGGCCACCAGCCCATCTTCATTCACCACAGTTTTCCCTCCTTGACTGGCTGCTCCTTCTTACCTGCCTGTCCCCTAAATGCTGGAGCTCCTCAAGGCTCTGTCCTAGGCCCTCTTCTCATCTTGCTCCATATTCTCTCCATAGGAGACCTCCTCCCCTCCCATGGCTTCAATGACATCTTATCAACTCCCAAATGATGGTCAACACTCAGCCAGAGCGTCCTCCTGCTACAGACTTGTAAATCCACCTGCTTTCTTCAAAGAATCACCTGGACACTTTAAAGTCACCTGTTTAAAACTGAACTCAACATGCTCCTCTCCACACCCAACAAGCCTGCTCCTTCGTCACAGTTCCCCACTGTATCAGTCAATCCCCATCATTCTCCCAGCTACACAGGCAGGATCTCCAGGACATAGTGATCTCCAAGATACATGCGTCTCCAGAATATACTGTATATTGTTAACTGAAAAAAGAAAGGTGCAAAACTGTGTTTAATAACATGCTATCTTTTATGTATCAAAAGGGGGAATATGAATATATATGTATATACACACCACACACATATATATACATTTGTTTATGTTTTCAAAAAGAAACAAAGGAAAGATAAATCAAAAGAATAAAAAAGGTAAAATAATATAATAATAATAAAATAATAAAAATGGGGAGAGGAAGGGAATAGGGTGGAGGATAATGAGATCAAAGGAAACTTTCGTCAATGTACCTTGTTATATAGTTCTGACTTTGGAAAATGTTGTATATGAATGTTTTATATAATTTAAAACAAATTAAATCAAAAAGGCAAAAAAATCCCTAAAAACTAAAAAACAAATATAAGCAAATTAAACTATGTTATAAAGGGAGTATAGCTATATGAAGAAAACAATTACTAACCACAGTACTTTGACAATACATACCTACAGGGACATATTTTAAGGCCAGAAAAGAACCACAGAGAAAATTTAAATTTCGTTCTGAGTCTTACTGTTAGTAGTAAAAAACAATATAGCTATTTTAAAACTATAATTAGTATACTGTAGGTGTGCAGAATAGTTAACATAAACTGCTATCCTTAGAAATGCCTACTTGCTAGGTTGGCCCTGGGCTGGCATCTAGGAACTTGGATTTCAGGTGATTCCCACAATTCCCAACTGATAAGAGTGGCTCATTGTGCCTACGCTGTTTGTGCAAACAATATGGTTTATGCTGAACACCTGCTTTCACCGAAGTATGGAATTTCGGTACATGCTAAGCAGAGGATGCTTATGTGACCAGTCCCCAATAAAAACCCTGGATGCTGACTCTCTAATGAGTTTTGCTGCTAGACAACACTTCAGACATACTGTCACAACTCCTTTGCTCGGTGAATTAAGCACATTTTGTGTGACTCCAATGGAAGAGCACTCTTGTAAGCCTGCACCTGATTTCCTTCAGACCTCACCCCATGCACCTTTTCTGTTTGCTAATTTTGCTTTGTGTCCTTTCACTGTGATAGATCACAGCTGTGAGTCCTCCTAGTAAATCACTGACCCTGGGGGTGGTCTTGGGGACCTCTGATACAGAAGAATCTAGCAAATAAGTTATTTTGTTAATGGTATTGGGAAATAAGATTTTCAGCATAAGATAAAGAGATACTAGTATATCTCTCACTCTAACCAACTGAGTTAACCAGCCAGCCCAATAAAAACATAATCTTAAATTTGAGCTGCAATTACTGATATAAACTCACAACTCTTTTTTCTTTTCTTAAAAAAAATTTTCTATCTCTGCTCATCGAAAAGGCCTAGAAGCAATCACAGCTCAGTATCGCCGATCACTTCTAATTTTCCAATTCTGGTCTTTAAATACTATTTTCCAGCTAAAAAGCAATCTGCCAAATCCTAGGAGAAATGATTGATTCCAGGACCAGGGCAGGAAATGGACAAAATGAGCCTGGGGCATCTTACTGAGCCAGGAAACAAGGAAGCTATCAAAGACTAATAAAGTACGACAAAGAGCAAAGATATCAACTTGAAGGGACTCCCAGAGAGACAATTTGAGCATATAAAAAAAAAAAAAACTAATTAAAACATATAAATTCCATAAAAATATGTGTTCAAAATGATATGAAAACCAAAGCTTCATTGGTCAACACTGTAGCTTACAAGGGACTGAACTCATTACTCTAAAAATTGATAAAGGGAAAGAACCAAGCATTTATCCTGTCTTTCAGCATGATCAACATTTCAGAGTAACCATACAGGTGATGAGGGAAATGTTTTCATTGAAGAATTCCAACTAATAAATGCAGAAGGAAATAATGGGTCCAAGCAATGATCATCAAGGAATGCTAAAACCATTCAGATGAAAGACTGATGGTGGATTTATAATGGAGGGATCAGTTACCACCACCTCAACCCGCTGATCAATCCTAGAATCTCTAAATGCAGCAAGACAACATGTGCCTTTTGATGACATGCAATACAAAGTACACAGCACCAGCTATGAGGTGTTCACCCTAAATAACCCGATCTGAATGGAATCAGGCCTTTAGATATTACCTCCTGTTGATAAAAAATATGGGGAACAGAGAAACATGTTAGATGACAACACAGAGAAGCAATCAGCCAAATCCTGGTATGTGGATATCATAGGTGACAAATGGCCTGCTTTCTCCACAAATTAATGTCATGAGAAAATGGGGGTGAGGGGGAAAGGAGGGTATATGTTATAGAATAAAGACACTTATGAGTCAAAACAACAAAAAAGCCAAACTCATCATGCCATTCTTTTACTTAAAACCCTCTGGTCCTGCCCACACCTCTGGCTATACCTCTTACCATGTCCCCTCTGTGATCCGGCCACAGTCACCTTCATTCAGTTCCTTGAACTGGCCCATTCCTTTATTCCTCAGGTTCCTTGCACATGTGGCTCCATCTCCCTGGAATGCTGTCCTTGCCACTTACCCACCTCACCTAGCAGAAGCCTGCTCATTCCTTCAGTCTCAGCTCAAACACTGTCTCCTTGGTGGGGGAGGGGAGGCAGCCCAGACCTCCTCGGGGTAAGATCAGGTCCTCCCCCTTGTTATATACCCTCACTGCACTCTGCACTCCTCACAGGAGCACATGTGAGCATTTTTTTGATATCTGCCTTCCCCCTAGGGACTAGAAGCTCCTTGAAGGCAGACACCACAACTTTTAGCACAGTTTAACATGTAGCAGGCACTAGATAAAAATCTGTTCAACAGATTGAAGAAAAAGTCATGTGGTTCAATCACCAGGTGGAAATTCAGGAACACACTCAACCAGTAAGGCCCAGAATAGTTGCTGCTGATCTGGGTTGTGGTGGTACCTGTGTTAGTGCCCAAAACCCAGCTTGGCACTCAGAAGGGCTGAGGCTCACGGGAAGGACTCACCGCCTCATGGGACTTCGGAATGGGTATGATGATGGCCAGCACACAGATGAGCTGGAAGATGGCCCCCAGGAAGAGTCCATACCGTAGCAGGTTCTCCAGGAAAGTGGGCTCAGGCACCTCAGGAGGTGAGAAGTCCAGGTTGGAGGCCATGGCCCAAGCTGCCCACTGTCTGAGATCTCTTCTGACTCACCACTCTCCAGAGCCAACTTCTAAATGCAAAGGGTAAGTGTCATGTTTCTACAAGTGACTTTTAAATGGTCTCACTTGAATAAATGCACACACCATATATGCAAGAATTTGTAAAGCAATTGTGGTGAATATTAACAATTCTTGAATCTAAGTAGAGGATATACGAATAGTCATTGAACAATTCCTTCAACTTTTTTGTGTTTGAAGTTTTCCAAATATAAATTAAGGAAAATAAGTAAATGCAAAGGGAAACACTTCAACAAAATCTCAAATCAATATATATTTACTGAAGGCCTGTTATGTTTCAGGTTTTGTTTATTTATTCATCCAATCATTCATTCCACAAATACTTATTAAACACCAAGCACTGAAGAGTGAGCAAAACAGACAAATCCTTGCTCTCTTGGGGCCCACAGACTCAGGACCGTGGCAGACAATGAACACACTGAGACGTGATATGCCTGGTAGTGATAACTGTTTTGGAAAAAACAAAGACATCATTTTAGTTTGTATAGGGTCACAGGAAAGGCCTCTTTGAAGAAAAGAGACAGGAATAAAGGAGCAGAAATATGAAGCGAGAGAGTGAGCCATTTGTGTATCTGAGGGAAGTAAATTCCAGGCAGAGAAAAAAGTAAAGGTAGGGGCCCCAGCATGGGAAAATGAGACCGGTAAAGCCAGAGAATGGTGATCAGGAGGGAGAGTGAAAGGAGGTAAGATCAGAGAGGAGCAGGGGCAGACCTTGTAAGACCCTATCACTTCCAATTTGACTGAGTAAAATGTAAAGCCACCGAAGGGTTTTGAGCAGAGAAGTGACATAATCTAACTTATATTTTTAAATGTCAGGGGGGAACAACATGGGAGGGGGCAAAGTGGACACAGAGAGACCGGTGAGGAGAACCAATAACCCATACAAGAAATGCTGGTGGCATGTATGACAGGGACAGTGGTGGCAGGTCTGGCCATTGTCCACCTCTCTAGCTTCTCCCTTCACCAGAATCCCCCCACTCCTAATACCCTGGTCGAGCTGTAAGAACTGCCCATGGTTCTCAACCATACTAGGCTCTTTCAAAATCCTGGGCCTCTGCCCAAGCAATACACTCTGCCAAGAATGTCCTTTCCCACTCTGACTGCTTGGTGAATTCTCAATGTACCTTCAAGGCTGAGCTCAAATGTCACCTCCCCAACAGGACTTGCTTGTCACCCTTCTCCTCCCCTGGTATTACTGAATTGTTTTCCTTCTACTACAGAACCCCCCCCAATGGCTTTCTTCTGCCCATCCCAACAATAAAGGGGCAAATTTAGTTTGGAATCAAGTCAACCTGAATCCAATGCCCTTTGTGTTTTCAGAGATCTGTGCCACAATGCAATTTCCTGCTAAATCTGAGCTATTCAATATGGTGGCCATAAGCCACACATGGCAATAATAAGACTTGAAATGCAGCTAGTCTGAACTGAGATAGCTGTTAAGTTAAATAAACCCCCAATTTCAAAGACTTAATATGAAAATAAGAATGTAAAAGATATCATTAATAATGTTTTTATACTGATTATTTGTTGAAATGACGTTCCGGGTTACATTGATTATATTATTAAAATTAATTCACCTAATTTTGAAAAAGAATAACAAAGTTGGAAGACTCACTTTCTAATTTCAAAACTTACTACAAAGCTACAGAAACCAAAACAGTATGGTTCTGGCATAAGAATCAACATACAGACAAATGGATTAGAATAGAGTCCAGAAATAAACACATATGAGAAAGAAAAGTGGCTTAGAGCTATCTACGGAATGTGAGGTCTGCTAAACTTATCAGGCTCAGACAGATGTGAGTAAAGGGCTTTCAGTCACATTCCCTTGCCCATGTGCAGGATAAAAGCCATGTTTTAATAGTAGCTTTCAGACTAGCTGCCTCCACCAGTGGGTAGAAACTACCCAAATGTTATCACAAGTTATACAACGTGACCCTAACCCTTTTTGTTGTTGCAATGTTTCTGAAATTTATGAAGCAAAGAGCAATGTATAGCCAATCAGCAGCTTATGTTATTTAAATGAACCAATGTAAATTCTTGGCAAACAACTTTAGAACTGCCCCTCAACTTCTTTTCCCTTAAAAATCTGTAACTGCTGCCAAGCAGAGCACATATTCAGGGCAACTTTAATTTATGTCCCCCCAGCTGTAGTCCTCAGTCTTGGCCCAAATAAGTTCTTTGTTTTTTATATTTTTTGCCTCAGTTTCTTCCATTAGGTCAACACATATATAGTTAATTGATTTTCAGAGAAGGGCACCAAGACCATTCAATAGGGAAAGGATAGTTTTTCCAACAAACAGTTCTAGGAAAACTGGATAACCACACATACAAGAGTGAAGTTGGGCCTTTACCGTACACCATACACAAAAATTAACTCAAAATGAATCAAAGATCTACATTTAAGAGCTAAAACTATAAAACTCTTAGATAAGGGCCGGCCCGTGGCTCACTCGGGAGAGTGCGGTGCTGATAACACCAAGGCCATGGGTTTGGAGCTTATATAGGGATGGCCAGTTCACTCACTGGCTGAGTGTGGTGCTGACAACACCAAGCCAAGGGTTAAGATCCCCTTACCGGTCATCTTATATAAAAAAGAAGAAAAAAAAAAACTCGTAGCCAAAAACATAGGGGGAAATCTTCATGACACTGATTTGGCAATGATTTCTTGGATATGACAGCAAAAGCAGAGGCAACAAAAGAAAAAATTAATTAGACTTCATCAAAATTAAAAATTTTTGCGCATTAAAGGACACTATCGAGAGAGTGAAAGGACAAACCAGAAAATGGGAGAAAATACTTGTAAAGCATTTATCTGAGGAAGGTCTAGTCCTAGAATATACAAGGTATTTCTATAACATAACAGCAAAAAAGCACAACAACCCAATTTAAAAATGGGCAAAAAACTTGAATAGACTTTTCTCCAAAACGGATATACAAAGGCCAATAAGCACATGAAAAGATCCTCAACTTCACTAGTCATTAGGGAAATCAAAACCATAATGAGATAATAGCCATACCCAATGGCATGGTTATTATTATATATATTTTTTTTAATGGAAAATAAGTGTTGGAGAGGATGTGGAGAAATTGGAACCCTCGTGCATTGCTGGTGGAAATGTAAAATGTTGCAGCCACTGTGGAAAAGGCTGGTGGTTCCTCAAAAAGTTAAACACAGAAATATCATATGATCTGGAAATTCCACTCCTAGGTACATACCCAAAAGAATTGAAAGAAAGGACTCAGATACCTGTACACCAATGTTCACAGCATTATTCACAGTAACCAAAAGATGGAAAGAACCAAGAGTCCATCAAAAGATGAATGGATAGGGCCGGCCTGTGGCTCACTCGGTAGAGTGCAGTGCTGATAACACCAAGGCCACGGGTTCGGATCCCATATAGGGATGGCCGGTTGCTCACTGGGTGGGCGTGGTGCTGACGTGCATTGCTGGTGGAAATGTAAAATGTTGCAGCCACTGTGGAAAAGGCTGGTGGTTCCTCAAAAAGTTAAACACAGAAATATCATATGATCTGGAAATTCCACTCCTAGGTACATACCCAAAAGAATTGAAAGAAAGGACTCAGATACCTGTACACCAATGTTCACAGCATTATTCACAGTAACCAAAAGATGGAAAGAACCAAGAGTCCATCAAAAGATGAATGGATAGGGCCGGCCTGTGGCTCACTCGGTAGAGTGCAGTGCTGATAACACCAAGGCCACGGGTTCGGATCCCATATAGGGATGGCCGGTTCACTCACTGGCTGAGCGTGGTGCTGACAACACCAAGTTGAGGGTTAAGATCCCCTTACCGGTCATCTTTTAAAAAAAAAAAAAAAAAAAGATGAATGGATAAACAAAATGTAGCATATACTTACAAGGGAGTATTATTCAGCCATTAAAAAGGACTGAAATTCTGATAATGCTACAACACAGATGGACCTTGAAAATATTATGAAATGTGAATAAACATATCTGAAATAAACTAGACACAAAAAGACAAATATTATATGATTCCACTTAAATAAAGTACATAGAGTAGGCAAACTCACAGACAGAAAGTAGAATAGAGGTTACCAGGCTTGGGGGGAAGGAGAATGGGGAGTTATTGTTTAATGGGTGTAGAGTTTCAGTTTGGGAAAGTTCTGGAAATAGACAGTGGTAATGGTTATGCAACATTGCAAATGCCACTGAATTTTACAGTTAAAAATCATAAATTTAATGTTAAGTATATTTTACCAAATTAAAAAAAAACAATCTCACCTGTTCTTTTTGCTTTCTAAGTGTGGCTACTAGAAAATTTAAAATTCACGCACGGCCTGTATAATATTTCTATGGCCCCAGGCTAAAGGGACCATCCTAAAGAACTTCCTCCTCCTTGGCTCTGCCACTTCACTGCTTTGCAACATTTTTCCAACATGAAGGAGTGACTGAAGGATAATAAAAATGACCTCTAAGTAAACAGAGTGGGACTTACACAAATGTATAATGTTTACCTTTCAACCTGGTCACTTCTGAAGGTCATGTGCCTAGGCCAACAGGCTGGCCACTTTTCATAACAGTTCTGTCTACTTTGGGAATGGCCTTCAAAGCCTGAGGCCCATTTTTTTTTTTTTAAGAATACTCAGAGCTGGCAGATCTTCATCCTCCCAGGAAGGATTTGACTTTTGGAAAGAACCCAACATCATCTGGCTCCAAGTGTGGTGAATCAGGTGGGGCATCAAGCTCAGGAATACCATTTTTGGTCAAATACAAGGTATGACACTCAGATTCCAGGCAGTTTGTTTGGGGTGGCTCATAAACTGGCCTGAAGTGAATTCCAAGGCAACTGCAAGAACAGATTCATCGGAGGAAACATACAGCCCCTACGGAGCACCACCATGTGAATAGCAAGGTTTAAGAAAGTGTTCTCATTTCTTCACAGTTGCACCTCATAAAGTGTACACTTTTTAAAATGCCCTTGACCACAAGCTTTATGCTTAAGGCTGTA